CTGGAGAGGTGTTCAAAGGTAATTTAAGCAAGTTCACAGTTTGTTATGTGTAGGTTTTTGGTTGTAATTGCACTTGCAGTGGCTACCTTTAATGTGATGGAAAGATTCTAAATATATGCAGCCATTTTATTATTTTCTTTTATGGTTTTCATGCAAATGTTGGCAACAAAGGACGTTTTGCAGTTTGTAATATCATCCACAAGACCACACATACACTCTGATAAGTCACAGTGAAGTACACCAGTATAAGTCGTTAATTGAGGGAAATATTACGAGCGAAATTATTCAATTTCCCTGTAGCAAAACGAAAGATATTTTTTCATTTTATAGTCTTTGTTAATAACTGATAATATCATATAGTACAGATGATTTGATAACTGCCCATTGCATTGTACATACCAGGTTTTCAGGCATTGTAGATTGGTAGAATCACAAAGATATGACATTAATTTAATGTATTACCATTAGGGGGCTGTGTAAAAGAGTCCACAGTGATATTCTAGATGGTCTGAAATATTCCCTCTGTGAAGATGATAATGTCTTGGCCATTCTGTCCTTTTTCTCACTGTTTTGTACAGAGTCCTGTGGAGATGGAGATCTTTTTTTCCCCCCTCAGACTTAACAAGGGACAAGCGAGAGTTTTGCATGCGATTCACTCTTCTTTCCTTTCTTTTATTGCAACTTCAATGAAGTTAATAATCAACTGACCAGATTACAAGTAGGTGATAGCATTTGACCAGAGTTGCCTGTTGGAGACTTAAACAGAATGACCATCATTGGACAAACTTTGGCTACATTCTTTTTGCAACTTAGTAAAACTAAATGCTACTTAAAACAATTGTTAATATGTGCACCGTGTGAAATGGCAGTATGTTGTATTGAATGATGTTCTGGACTAAGCTCTAGATACACAATGTATCTGTGTGGTTTTCAAGAACTATTTTCTTTCTTTCTTTTAGAGTACTTCAACTTGTATTTGTGGAAATATATTACATGCAACATGTAAAATGCAACATGTTATTCTTGGAGAAAAGATGTCAGATGTTTATGAGTAAATACTTGCAGATATATCACTCAGCGCAAGAGTGTCTTCTTGGCTATGTTGAGACCCAGGAACCCCTTGATATGAGATGGAGATACAGTACGTACTGTCTTACTATGTCGGTGTAATAGTACTGAATGTCCCAGGGTACCGGGAGAACATAATCATACCTACAATACAAAGACACAAAAACAATGGACGGTAGACTGTGCACATCCTCTGACTTAACACATTAGCACTGCACGTCCTACAGCTACGGTGAATGTTTGAACATTATGGTATATGACTACGGTTGTTAGGGAAAGTACAGCGTGTACCAACTTCACGCTGATGCAGTCTACCATGCTCGTGAATAAATGAATATTTAAGAGTATAGAAAAACATCAAATTAGTGCTGGGTTGTATGGCTGAATTCAATATTAATATTTCATATAATAGTAATAAGTAATACAGTTTAGGGAATTCAATTGATAAACCTTTTATAGATAAAATCATCACATGGCAGTGTCTGTTTTTGGTTAGCCCAGTGAATTAAATACCTTAAACAGTAAAGCAAAAACCTTGTAAATCTAATACTGGTATGACCCAAGTATAATAACAGGTACTGACTAGACTCCATCTTCTGGGAAGGCTGTGAAGTGTGGCTGAGCCTGGAAAAAGGTAATTAAGTGGACGGTAGTTTTTTGTTGTCGTTGTTTTGCTTCAGATTTCTTCCAGGTTAAATAAGTGTTTCTTAGGTCAATAGTAAACCTAAACCTTACAGAAAAAATCTCTGTAGGTTTATTTTTATGAACATTTTATTGAGAGTTTGAACAAAGGACCAAAGACAAAGAATAAAGACTTCAGTTATTAGGAGACATATCAGCAATAAACACACATATACACACATAAGTTGCATCAGTTATGATCAAGCTTGTTCAATAGAGAGTATGTGATCCTCTAATAAATGAACCATTATTGTAGCCCATTCTTTATAAGGCTTTTTATAATGCTGTCTCAGTAGAATCAGTTCAAATAAGTCCCGAAGTTCAGCAGTTGGGCACAAAACAGACAGTTTTGCAAAGACATGGAACTTCTTATTTGGGACTACAAAAATAATCTGTTACAGACCATAAAAAGCTTTGGAGGTATGTCTGTCCAAATCTATTAACACAAGATATTGCATATCTGCTAAAGACTGGAAATCATGTTTGAGTAACATACATACATTGTACAATAAAATGGGCAAACTGAAAATAATACACAGATGGCATCAGACACCACAACAATTATATGAATGGAATATAAATACCAGCAGACTGAATGGGGTTTCTACATACTTTGGACACATCTAGCCCTTTGGTGAAATAGTATTTAACGTCATATCACCCAACCCTATCTATAAATATCATGATATGGTGGATGAATGCCATAAAAAGTAATCAAACTGATTGTGTTCCTCTGGTATACATTGCATGCTTCACACATCCTTTGTCCAAAGTACTCTGGACAAACATGGTTGTACTGACAGAAAGGAACTTTTCAGAAACTTTTTTGTTAGTTCCTAATTGGACCACTAGATGACAGATTCACCCCATTATTTTGGTTTACCACTCAGTTTGTCAGAGCCTGCCTTCAGAGAGTAAGGCACTTGAATTATGACATGGTGAGAAAGTTATTTGTTCACAGTGTTACACAGGAAATATTTACAAAAATAAACAGAGCTTTCAGTTACCACAGAATCGTGTAATTGCCATCTGGTGGTTACTTTTATTAAAATAACTTGAATACTTTGAATAACCTAATGTCCACTGAAACATAAACCACTTTAAAGCCTGGCAGTTTCAGTACAGTATACACACAACATTTTTGCAATAATTGCCATTAGTCGCCAGTGATGGGGTTTTCTCAATAAGAACTGCAGGGAAAAAAAGCTGCAAAGCTTTTGTTCATCACCTCTTCTGAGTTGTTAATGTTGTGAACTCATTAAAGCTCTTCGGGTGAAATTAGCATAATGATGAATATGCATGCAGAACTGTTGTCTGGTTGACAGATATGACAGCTCAGTATCTATCACAAGGCTGAGTGACACACGGACACACGTACAGAATAACAAGTCAACTTGCACACTAACACATAGCACCCACGCACACACATGTACACACACGTATATGTACACAAGGAGGGAGTTTGGTGTTGCTGTTGTGAGCAGAGGCCATCATCATCATCATTTTCTGCAACACAATTCGCTACAACATTACTCCAGGTCTTGCAGCTGTCTGACATTCGGCCATATGGTGTGCGTGTGTGCATGTGTGT